CCCTAGAGCCGGCCCTGAGGTTTTTTATAAGCTCCTTTTATCTTTGCAAGGGTCTCTGTTGAACTACAATTCTGAGATCAGTTACACTGCTACATACAGGATAGCACTGGCATAACAGAACTGAATTTGCCTCTTCTAGTTGAAGGAGATAGAGCAGCTATGGTATGGCAATAGAAGCTGGTTGGAAGATGTTTGGGGGGGGGTTGCCCCCCCCATGGAGAATTTTGATTAAAATGAAAAAATATATATATATTTTCATCAACATTTTCTGTGGAAAAACATCAACTGTTGAAAAACCGAAACCCCCAAACCTGAAGAATTTTTGGTTTTCTGATGGAAAAAAAAAAATCGGGAAACATTTCTCATTAAAATATTCATTTTCATCCAAAACCAATCTCTCACTGAAAAAAAAAATGGTAGAAAATTATCAACCATCTCTAACAGCAATGGTTTCCCCAGTTTCTCAAAAAAGACCTCTCCTGGGCACCAGAAATATAATCGAGCCTCCCGCCTTTTAGCCTGAGACTTGAAGATTGGTTGGGAAAGGGACTTTGCTGGATACACATTAAAAACTGGTGAATTTAATGAGAAACGAGTTGATCTTTTTAGTCCACTTCCCAGGGCTAGATAATCTTGTCAACAAACCAGCACTACAACTGGCACCCTTGTTGAGAGTCTCACCAGAGATGGGCCCTGGAGATGGAACTCCCCTCACTACTTTAATAACCCCATGGCAAACCTGGACTGACTCAATCCTAACTCATTGACATAGGCCAAAACTTTTATTTATTTTTTTAAATGAGTTAGGCTTCACGTCCATATTTAGGCACTGTGTGGCTCCTGATTAAGTCAATGGAGCTGCTGGACACTCAGCATGTTGACAGGATTACTGGCCTAGTGGATAGGGGAGAAGTAGTAGATGTGATAAATCTTTTGATTTTAGCAAGAATTTTGACAGTCCCACATGACATTCTCATAAGTGAGCTAAGGAAATGGAATATAGATAAAATTACTATAAAGATGGGTGCACAACCAGTTGAAAGACTGTACTGAAAGAGTAGTTAATGGTTCATGATCAAATGGGGAGGCCTTATATAGTGGGTTTCTGCAGGTCAGTCCTAGGTCTGGTTCTGTTCAATATTTTTATGAATGACTTGGATAATGGAGAAGAAAATATGCTTATACAATTTGTGGGTGACACAAAGCTGGGAAGGGTTGCAAGCAATTTAGAGGCCAGGATTAGAATTCAAAAGACCTTGACAAATTGGAGAGTTGGTCTGAATTCTACAAGATGAAATTCAGTAAAGACAAATGCAAAATACTTTACTTAAGAAGGAAAAAATCAAATGCACAGCTACAAAATGGGGAACAACGGACTAGGTAGAAGTACTGCTGAAAATGATCTGGGGGTTATTGTGGATCACAAATTAAATATGAGTCAACAATGTGATGCAGCTGCAAAAAGGCTAATATCATTCAAACACCTGTCAGGGATAGTCTAGGTTTACTTGGACATGCCTCGGCGCAGGGGGCTGGACTTGATGATTTCTCAAGGTCCCTTCCAGCCCTACATTTCTATGATTCTGTTTGAAAATCAAGCCACTTAATTAGATGCTTAAATATGGTTTTAGGAGCCTAACTTTTTTTTTTAAATATTGGCCATGGTCTTTACTCTGCCCTCTTTGTTCTCTCCATTTATCGAACACTTACTATTTCTCCTTGCACCCATCGATATGAGAACCATTGCATCTCCTGCCATCTAGAACAGTCTTTCCTTGTCTCTAAAAGTCATCAGCTCTCTTATCTAGATCTCAGCTGGAAAAAACCCTATCTTTTCTCCTGTGCATTTATCTCTGAATTACTCTGCCTCTGTTATTGGAATTATGAGTTAATGTTTTTAAGTTATTCACCATGGACATTTTTGGATCCAAATCTGGGTGTGAACTATCCCAAAGTTTGGATGTGTTTGTACATGGCTTTTCAGTTCCAGCCCACCTCCAATTTCAGGATACAGTTTCAATGGAAAACCCTACATAAAATCATGGGACTGATCCTACACAGTGTTATAGTGTGTGTCTAGAATAGCATAAAAGGTGTGGGTTTTTTAAATGACATCCTATGGTGCTCAAATAAGAGAACTGTGATCCAGAGGAGGTGCTCCAGCGGTCTCAGGTGTGGAAAGTAAGCCTCACATGCTGCACAGGCTCTATCACCATGCATTCATGCTGCCTTGATCTCTATTTCCCTCTGAGTTAATATGAGACTAGATGCTCAGAAATTATTATGAGAGGGGCCACATTAGTATCTATTTAGGTAGAGAGAAAAGGGGGCATGTTTATGGAGCTGAGTGGGTGTGTCTTGAAGGAAAAGGCCTGTGAGAAACAAAATAGATGAGGAGCAGCCATCTTTTTCAAGAAATTCATACTGTATGAGTGAGGATCCTACACAGCTCACAGTACCGCAGGTAACAGTCCTGAAGAACAGATGAAGACTAGAACAGAAAAATGGGACACCACATGCATGGCTATATGCCTGTCAGCCAGCTATGTTGCTGTGTATTCCTCACTCTTCATCCTTATCCCTCCCATGCCCTAGGTTCAGATGGCTGTGTGGAGCTCATTGGAGCCGCATTGCCCTTTAGCCAATGAATACTGTCCCCAGCTTGTTCTCCAACACACAGGAAACCTGCCCAGCCAGTTAAAATCGCTAACTTCATGTGTGTGGTTAGCAAGACAGGAGGAGGATTTAAATATGACAGTATTTCAAGGGTTATTCTAGCCGAGATTCTAAGGGTTTTTTTCTCCACTGCCTTGCACCTTCTGTGACTGAGTGTGAAGTGGATGTCAGATGCTGCCATATTCCAATTTTATATTGTTTTACATCCATTCTGCACAGGAGTAAATGACTACACACCATGAAAAGCAGCAGAGAACCAGTCCCTAAGAACATGTTGTCAATATCAGGGTCCAAAATGGATGAGGTGAGGTAGAGAAAGAGGCAGCCACATACCTGCAACTTTGTTTCTTGGCCAGAGTCAGCCTGCTGGCAGAAGACTTCAAAGAAATCAGCCACTCCTTCCTCCACCCATAGCAGAGTCACTGAAGTCTGGGTCTTGTTCACAGCAAACAGTGATTTTGGAGGAGCTGGTTCTGGATGAGAGAGAGAGGGGGAATCTCCTTTCACCAAGCTTATCTTTTGGTCTTTGGAAAATCAACAAGGGAAACCAGCAAACAGAATCAGTGAAAGGAATAATACCCTTCTTGAATTTTTTCATTTCCTTCAGAGACGATCTGTCACATTGACACAGCTATTAAGCAACTGATGTAAAACAGGAAGATGGCTAAGTATCTTGGTTTTTCTTCTCTATTTAACAGTTCTCTGATTGGCTTGCTGGATAATCACTTCTCTTCCCCAGTCAAACAGTGTTTGGGGGAATGTTCTATTAATAGACACATTTGCATAAGTTCTTGGAGGAAAAAAGGTTGCCCAACTGTTAGGAAAAAAAATAGTGTGTGGGTCAATTAGAACTAAAAATCTTGACTGCCGTCATTCTGTGTAGAACATTCAGAGCCACTGGATTTGGATGTGTTTTAGATGGGTGCAGAAGATGCTTTCTTTCTCTACTTGATTTCAGAAAGCAGCAGTTCTCCTCAAACTTCTTTGGCCTGGCTCACCATCCCCAAAAAACTATCCTATAGTCCACTATATCCCACACTCCCTTGCAGCTGCAAAGATTGTGAGTTGGCTTCATGATGAGAAGCCAGGGGCTTTTTGTTGTTGCTGCTGCCGACTGGTTGGGAGGTGTGCTTGCTGAGGGGATGATGGGTCCTGGGTAGAAATAGTGGTAGGAGGGTTGATGCTGTAATGGGATGGAAAGCTAACTGCAGGGTTGGGGGGCTGCTGGTGTGATATAGGGGTGTTGGTTCTGGTGAAGAGCTGAAGTGCAGAGACTGGCTACTGAATTTTGGTATTTCTTCCCCCCCAAACCTACCATCATCGGATCTTAGATCTTGGCCTAGCTTTCAGAAGTCTGTACACCTGGCTCTCTAGCTAACCTGATGGACTGCTTTCCCTGCCTTGCAGCTCAGTGCCACATAGGCAGCAAGGAGGAGAGGGGAGAATGAGAGCTGCCCTGGGAATGGGTGGGGTGGGAAAGATGCAGTATCAGTAAATGGAAGGAGTGGAAGGAATGAGCTGTTCCTTCCCTCTCCTGCCTAGACTCCTGCTGGGCTTAAGGGCTCTGGGATTTTTCTTCATGTTTTTTCCCTCCTCTAATTGGTGAGGCACAACCCAATGGGTGTTCTTTATCATCCCACTTCCAGGTGGCTATGGAATACTGCCAAAAAAGGAGTGTCATTCCAGGTATGTTAAGAACAGAAGCCATGTCTTTGTGACACACATCAGTCTTGCACTTCTCTCTCCCACAATGAGACAATAAAGAGGAGTACCACAAACTCTATGTCCCAGGTGCATGTGTGTGCATTTTATAACTCTAATCAGTACCAGGAAGCCAAACCTCTGCAGTGAAAATGAGAAAATAAGTAGGGATAGATCTGAACCTAGATCTGAAGCACCCTGAACACTGTGGGAGGCTGGAGATGATGGAGTTCAAAGTAATGTAATATACACCATCATGTGCCAGCAATGCCCCTCTGCTACGTACATCAGCCAAACTGGACAGTCTCTGCGTAAAAGGATAAATGGATACAAGTCAGATATTAGGAATGGCAATATACAAAAACCTGTAGGAGAACACTTCAGTCTCCCTGGACACACAATACTGGATTTAAAGGTAGCCATCCTGCAGCAAAAAAACTTCAGGACCAGACTTCAAAGAGAAACCGCTGAGCTTCAATTCAATTGCAAATTTGACACCATCAGTTCAAGATTAAACAAAGACTGTGAATGGTTAGCCAACTACAAAAGCAGTTTCTCCTCCCTTGGTGTTCACACCTCAACTGCTAGAAGAGGGCCTCATCCTCCCTGACTGAACTAACCTCGTTATCTCTAGACTGATTCTTGCCTGCATATTTATATCCGCCTCTGGAAATTTCCACTACATTCATCTGACGAAGTGGGTATTCACCCACGAAAGCTTATGCTTCAATACGTCTGTTAGTCTATAAGGTGCCACAGGACTCTTTGTTGCTTTTTACAGATCCAGATTAACATGGCTACCCCTATGATACCGGAGTTCAAAGTCTGATTGCTGATCCTGTTTTCTATAACAAGTTAAATCAAAAAGAAGAACAGGAGTACTTGTGGCACCTTAGAGACTAACAAATTTATTAGAGCATAAGCTTTCGTGGACTACAGCCCACTTCTTCGGATGCATATAGAATGGAACATATATTGAGGAGATATATATACACACATACAGAGAGCATAAACAGGTGGGAGTTGTCTTACCAACTCTGAGAGGCCAATTAATTAAGAGAAAAAAAAAAAACTTTTGAAGGGAAAAACAAACAAGCCGAGC